CCCCCTCTTTATAGATATCACTTCTTCCAACTTGTCATTAGACTCGATGGTTGTCAATTTGGTAATACATTCATTTTCTGCATTTGGAGGATCGCAAGCTAAAAAAATTCGCCGATAAGAGTGTTAGAACTATCTAAAAAATTGATTGACATCCTCATCGGGTACATGAGTTATATGTAATCCATAACAAATTTTGTAAGAAATTTAAGAACAAAAAATAAATAATAGATTGGTAGAAGGAAAGTTGGAATTGAGGTAATGTTTAGAAACAAAAGAATAATTATATCACGATCCAAAACTTATATTATCGCCTAATCATATTGTACCATATAGACATCACATATCCCATTCATATGTACTATCAAAAATTACCATTTTACCCATTTGTAAAGAAGTGTTAATGAATCACAACTCTCTTCAATCCCAATTCTAATATGGAAAGAATTCTCTCTTTTTTTTTTTTTTTTTTTTTTTTTTTACACTATTTTTGACAGAAGTCTTGCTCTTAATTGTATTATTTCCTCAACGCTTTTAATTGCCAAATGAGTCCTATCTAGCCATGTATCTTGTTTCCTTTTCCAATTCAATTATGTCGTAACTATTTACAAAATTGGTCCCTTATTTGTATCACTATTTATTTGTCATTTGCAACAACACCACGTTGACTCAAATCCTTCGTATGATGGTACACCTTGACACCTATCTTTACAACCGTTTACCGGTAGGTGTCATCGTTCCTTGATCAATTTTTATAGACATGAATGGATTTCTAAGATTCATTAAACACGGCTCTACAATTTTACATATTTGACCTTCAATATTCATTCTTCTTGTTATTAGCCAAAGAACCGGTCATGGCCATTTCACAATCTTTGGTAACATTCGAAGACCCATCTCTGTGCTATTCCAATACCATAGCCCCACATTGGGGCAACTCTATCACCAAAACTTCACCTCAAGTTTTCTTCCATATTAGTCTGTACAAATAGTCAATCTTATTTACTTTCATTATCTTGGAAGAATTTTTCTTTACATTCATCATAATGACGTACTTAGAATATTCATAACCTAATGTGTCCAGCTCTCCCAAAAATATCAAACTTCACCTTAATCTCGGGACGTTCATAACCCCTCTGAAAATCCTCGTTGTTCCATTAAATATTTTCACCTTCATAATAACCTTACCTTGAACTTCAAGTTTCTTATTATCAGCTATCATCACATTGTGCACGTCACATGGCTTATAATCCTTAAATCACTCATTTTATGGCTATTTATGGTACGAATATTCCGAATCTAAAATGCAATAGCTTACTGGGACATCATAACATGTGACAAAGTAGATATCACCTATCTCAAATTCATCGTCCACGACATTCGTATCATTTGGGGCATCTTTAGACTCTTCCTCGCTTCAATATGCTTCTTGACAATTTCTTTTAATATGTCCCCTTTTGTTACAGTAGTAACACTCCAAATCTCATGTGGAATGAGATTGAGAACGATAATCCCTTTTGTTACTATACCTTCCTCATGATTTAGCTTTACCACGCCCGCTCTCAAACTCTGACAGTGAATGAGGTTTCAACTGCTTATTTAGAGGCAAACAACATTAAGAAGCCAAGTGGTACTATGAGTTTATGAACATTGTGAGTTCCATGAGTCTATGAACAGAGTGAGATTGCTATCCTTCTCAATTATTAGAGTGCCAAACGTAGTGAGATTGTTAGAACTAAGGAACCGTAGCTGAAGCCTGGAAGGTGTTGTCCTTTTCTCCAAGTTTCTGTCATTCCTAAAATACTACCTTCAAATTGCAAAGAAGGTAAGACAAATACATATTCGGAAAAATTCTATAATTACACAAATAATATAAATATAAATATTTTAGTAAATTAATGTCCCTTTCCATGTTTCCATGAAAAGAAAAAAGATTTTGTGCCTCAGAATTTTCATTATAGATATCGTCCTCTCTTAGTTCAGTGCATATTGCATTGCGAGATTTGTTTAATTAGTTTCTCGATGATTTTGTACCATTTGTCAATTCTAGCTACAAAACCAACTTTTATTTCGCCTTTCAAAGTTATTCATATTATAATCGTCGATTGAATCAACCATCGAGTTAATTTATATCAATGTTCTAGATTCCAAATAAACACTTCTGTAATGTAAGGTGCTAGGAATACATAGAAGTGAGACCATAAAATTTACAAAGTTGTGCACAAAATACTACAGTCAAATATCCTTGTCACCATCAAACATTCTCAAATGTTTTCTATTGCGATTGAACTTTAAAATAATTTCGAGTTGCCATTGAACTTTTTCAAATATTTTCCAGTTATTGAATTTTGAAAGTTATCTTAGTTGTTACTGTTCTTATCAAAATATTATTCCATCCGTATGTGTGTCTATCTATCACCATTGTAAAGTTAACGTTCATGATGAACTTATCGAAATATTATCTAATCTATCATTTCAACTACCGTGTCATCAAGTCCATTAAGGTTTAAAACAACGACTAATAGTGCAATGGATAACATTACATTTTTGTAAATTGGGAGGGGCAACTCAAATATATTTTAAAGTCCTATAGCAACTAGAAAACTTTTGAGAAAGTTCAGTGGCATCTCAACAACCTTTTAAAGTTCAGGGGTAATGGAGAAGCATTTGAGAATATTTACTGACAACTGAAATATTTAACCAACACTACTACACTACCATATATACCTCCAAACAATTCTTCTCATTTAGTGCTTCACAAATATAACAGCAGGCACATCAATTCTTGCAATTGCAACAACTATTCAAAATGGAGAAAATAAATAAATAAATTGGAAAAACGAAAAAGAGTTTGATTTTTTTATTTTCAATTTTTACATATATTTTCTAAGGTCGTTCCCTACTGCATGGACAGGAAAACAACAACAGGTAGGAAATTAAAACAAATACATTAAAGAGATATATACAAAGAAGATCTTTATAATTCTTCTGCCATTTTCTTTTATTTCGGCATTCTCTTCCCCCTCTTGAGCAACCTGCTGAAGCCTGAAGCAAAGACCGAAAATATAAACTTGCCAGTTCTTAATTACTGTCTTGTTCTTCCCAGCAAACTGCCTGCAAAGATGCACCAACACATTGGACGAGGAAACAATTATTAGGCATTTACAGTGAATGAGATTTTACTTTATTTTAACAATCATGCTTCACAAACATAATGCCACATGACAACCTATCATTGGACTGTATAAAATACAGTCAACTTTTTCATCATATCATGTCGTACCAGCATATTCTGTCATTCTCTCTATCATACATTTTCTGGCATACAAGCATTGTTCTTATTTTAATAACAAAGCATTTACAAAGAGATTTTAATTCCGTCTTATTCTGTACAGCCCACCTTAGATAAAAGCGATTGAAAGCATTATCTCGTGACGAATTATGTCATAAGAGAAATTTACATAAATGACTCACCTGATTTTGCTGAAGCTCTTTTCTCTTTCTGTGAAGATTTGAAGAACCCAAAATGCTTCTATATTCAAAATACAAATAATTAGACATCACCTAAATAATGTATGAAAGTTAAGAAGAAAGGGAAAAATGTAACGCAAGAAAATGTAAGATTAGTACTTGAACATGTGAAGCAGGCAAGGCTTGTGAGAAACCAGGGACATGCTCCATAGAAGTGTGAGTGCTAGCAGGTCCCAAAATGTCCTGAAATTCGATAATAAAATACATGTCAATGAGAATTTCCCAGGGCCTGCAACTGATTCAGTATATTGTGCTGTTTTTTCAATGAACTTGCCTGGGAAAAATTACACAAAGGAGAGCTAGCAGTATCATCGAGATACAAATTCTTTTCTTCTCCCTTTTGCTCTTTTATTTTGTTTTTCTTCTTGCTTTTCTTGTTCTTTTCAGCACTATTTTCGTAGGCATCGACTTGTGGAGGGCCTGATGATGCATCTGATACCATAGACAAATCGTAGTCATCTTCCTCCTCATTCACGTGTGTCCCTTTTCTTTGATAATCTTTATCAGAGGTCTTGCTGTATTGAACTGTAGAATTAAAATGTTGATCCAAGTACATAGTCCATCCTGATTCGCATCCACTGCTGCACTCAGAAGGTGATATATTCATTCTTAACTTCTGCACATAAAGCAAGCTCACCCGAAGAATGAATCT